TTGGTGATGAACCATGCTAATAAATAAATTTCAAAAGCCTTAATCGTGGAACCATCAGTTGGTGTGCAGGTTAAGGGAGCTGGATCCCACATGGCTGACTGTGCAGTACAAGTCCTGGACCTGGTGGCTTGAAAGTCATGGGACACATGTGCATGCATGCCCAAAATCCCAAAAGGAGAATGGGGAAGGGACTATAGGGTGACCATCCCTTCTGGAGGATGATTTCTCACTTTCCTTCTGGATATCTGTGTCACTGGTGAGTGCACACGCCTTATAGCAAAAATAAAAAACAAAACAAAAACCAAAATGGTTTAACCCATTTCTGGCACATGTGTGTACTGTCAGGTTGCAACACACAATTGGAAAACATGGCTTTCAATTATGTAATAGGACTTCTCAGTTTGATTATTATTTCTTTTTTTTTTAAATGTGTTAGTATCACAACTAGAAAGGGAGAAAGCACCCCCGCCCCCGTGGGACATGGTCACACTGCAATCCCTTCTCCATTTCTCTCTCCTTTCAGATTTTGAATTGTTACTTAATCTTAAATTCCAGATCAGTATGGTTCAAAGGTCTTTGGAGACTTTCCTGAATAATTCTTGTGTCAGTCCTTCCTTCTGATGACCCTTTCCTGCCTGGAGTGACTCCCTCCTCCCCTCTCAGCATCTCTTCTCAGTGCCCATCCCCCCTCTTCTCTTGAAAACTCTCCTGCCCATCCTTAGTGGTATAACAGAAAAGCCACCTGACTCAGAGGCAGAGGGTTCCTTCTTACCTCTTACTAGATAACCGTGGGCACTTCCCCTTTCTGGGCCTCAGTTTCCTCACTAATCAAAAGAGCATAATAACACAAATCCCTCCAGGTGATTGCTTGGACTGTGAGATTAACTGAGCTAACAAGAGTCACGCACTGGGTATCTGTTTGATGTCCTCAGCATGGTTTCCTTTTTCCTTTTCCCCTGGAGAAGATCCTACCAGGGTCAGCAGGAGCTGGGGAAATACAAACCCTGCTGCAGTTGCATCTTGGGAAATTGGAGGGCAGCCTGGATTCCAGAGGTGTGTTCTGTGAACTCTAGTCCATTCATTGCCCAATACTTGGGTGCCCAAGAAGGAATCATCATGGTGTTTTTCTGGAGCAGGATGAATGGATCTTGGGGAAGGCAGAGCCAGTGGCCTGGAATGCCCTCCAGTACTCTACCCCTTCATGGACTCTCATACTCATGAAAGAAACACACTAGTACACATATCATTTTTGGAACTAAAAATGCAAACTTCCAAACTTTGAGCAAGAAGGCTATGAAAACAAATAATGGACAACATACAGCAGATATTTTTTAAAGAATTATTTAACTTTTAAATTGTTTTAATTTGGCTAGAGAGTGACCAAGAGAGAGACAGAGAGATAGAGAGAGAAAGGAGGAAAGTGAGTAAGCAAGCCTCCAGGTCCAGGACTTGAACTGGTCATATAGTGGTCAACTATGTGGGAGTCCAGCGCCCTTAACCACCATGCTACCTGGAAGCCCTTACAGCAGCTACATTTGGTGGCTAAATGCCCTCAGTTGCCTGTTTATATAATATAGTAAGAGAAAAAAAAAGTGGCTAACCAGTAAGAGGTTAATGGAATTAGGTCTCAAATATGCTCTTCTTGAATGTCACACCATCCACCCAATGAATGTGAAGTTGTGTATTGGAAAGACCTTGAGAAACACATATAGAAATTAGGAAGTCATTTAGATATCAGCTGGTCTCTTTAGCATGTGATCAGGTCTAGGATTATTTTTGAACTGAGAACTTCCACTTTCCTCTGGAGACTTCCCTTGCACAGGATCTATTTTATTAGCAATGGCCGACACCTCCCAAATCTATGAATATGTTTTAGTGAGAATTGATGAACCCTGATTAAATAAGAATCCTAATGGGAGCCGGCAGGTGTTGTGTGGTAAAAGGTGTTGTATTCTCACATGGCTGACAATTGTTCGAGTCCCAGACTTGGCGGCTTGCTTTCTCCCTTTTCCTTTCTCTTTTTCTCTGTCTCCCTCTGGTCAAATTAAAAAACAATAATAACAAAAGAATTAAATAAGTAAGTCTTAAAAAAAATAATCCTGATGGCTAGGTTGCCATTATGTGGAAGAAGTCAAACTCAATTATCTTTTTTTAAAAAATTATTTATTTATTCACTCATTTTTTTTTTTTTTTTAATTTGGCCAGGGAGAGACACACAGAGAGAGAAAAGGAAAATAAGAAGGCAAGCCACCAGGTCCAGGACTCAAACCATGGTCGCCCATGTGGCAATGTCCAGCACCTTAACCACCACGCCACCTGCTAGTCCCCTATCTTTTTTATTTTTAAAGAATTATTTCCTTTATTTTATTGAACATTATTGTTATTTTTAATTTGACAGAGTGAGACACAGAGAGAGAAAGAGAAAGCTGCCAGGTCCAGGACTTGAACCATGGTCAGCCATGTGGGAGTCCAACACCTTTAAACACCATGCCACCTGCTGGCTCCAAACTCAGTTATCTTTTAATTCAGCAACTCTGTGCCTACCAAGAGACTGTTAGAACCTCTTTTATGTGTCTTTATTTGAAAATTTTTCTTTGAAATCAGTTGTACTTCAGAAAGAAAGAAAAAATCAAAATATGTAACTTTCATGAGGAGTGTTAGCAAAGAGAAGGGATTTTTCTCTCTAGATTTGGCTTTTTCAGGTAAGGGAATACATATTTTTTTTAAGAATTATTTTATTTTAACGTTATTTATTTATTTAAACTTGACCAGAGAGGGACAGAGTGAGAGTGAGAGCAAGAAAGTGAGAAAGCAAACCGCCAGATCCGGGACTCGAGCCATGGTTGGCCATGTGGGAGTCCAGCGCCCTTACCCACCATGCCACCTGCCGGCCCCCCAGTAAGAAAATATTAGACCATCAGGTAAACAGTTGTGGCTATTTGGATCAGTATGTGGGAGAAATCAGACTCAATTATCTTTTTTTTTTAAAAAAAGAATAATTTGAAAAGAATTATTAAACAAACAAAAATAAACAAAACAGGGACCAGCAGTTAGCATAATGGCTATGTCGCTGGACTCCCATATAGTCGACCACGGTTCGAGTCCCAGACCCGGCGGCTTAAACTCACACCAGGCGCGTGTGCATGCGTGCCCAGGATCCCGAGAGGAGAATGGAGGAGAAAGGATTGCGGTGTGACTATCCCCCCTGGGGGGTGATTTCTCGTTTTCTGTCTCTCTGTCTCTCTCTGTCTTTCTGGTGAGCGCACGTGCCCTATACCAAAAACCTCTCCAAAAAAAAAAGAAAAAGAAAAAGAAATAAACAAACCAAACCTCCATGATTTATAAGACTGTATGCAGGGCTGGTCTTGTGGCCTAGTGGTTAAGGGAACTAGGTCCCACATGGTTGAATACAGGTCAAATCCAGGCCCTCTTGACTTAAAAATGTGACAGGAACGTGTGTGTGCGCCACAAATCCTGACAGAATGGAGAAAGGTAGGAAAAGGGATTGCAGTGTGCCTACTCCCCATTGAGGGGTGTTTTCTCCCTTTCCTTCCATCTGTCTGTCTGTCTCTAATAAGCACATATGTTCTCTGGCAATGTTACTTTTTTTTGTTTCTTTTTCTTTTTTTTTTTTTTTTTGACTATAAGGAGCATGTACTCACAAGAGAGTGAGAAAGAGAGAAAGAAGCATGAACGAGTTCTCCTTTTGAGCCTGCGTGCACACATGCCCAGTCTAATTCATAAGCTACTGGGTTCAAGACTCCACCCACAAAGCTGGCCACGTGGGATCCAGCGCCTTAACTTCCATGCCAGCTGCTGGCCCCCTACCATGTATTTTTATTTTTTAATCATTATGCTTAGACGTGGTGTGTATGCAGATCAGTTCTACCAGCTTTTACATCACTGTTACTCTCCTCCCCTACTGCTGCTGGGAAGATACTGTCTGAAAAGTCACGATGACCTGTGGGGGGAAAAAAAAAAACCTGTGTGTGTGGGGGGAAGAAGTCACGATGCATTTTTGCATAAACAGGAAGATGCATCATGACTTTTCCAACCACCTAATAGAACAAAGCCTATCTTTATGCCTAGCTCTCATGGTTGGCATAGGGGAGAAGGGAAATGAATAATAAAAACAAGGAGAAGGTGGTCCTTAGTTTTTGAATTTTACTCAGTAAGAATTCCTTCAGTATTCAATGGGGAGGCATCTCCGGAATTTGGTCTGCCCACCCTTATCCAATGTCTTCCACAAATCCTTCAAAATATATCCCTCTCTTTCACTATTGGTATTTACATATAAAGCATTAGTAGACATTAGGACCCTCATGGATTGGAAGGGCCACAACTGCACTGGGCTAGAATTTTGGAACTCTTTCCTAGGAACTCTTTCCATCATTCTTTTGGAGTGAATGTAGTGGTCCCAATGGTATTGGCTGGTGCAAAGAAGAGTCAAGTCTTTTCAGGAGTCCTGTCATTTCTGTGGCTTAAAAAAATGCTCTGATCGGGTATTGCATATTTTCACAATCACAACAGATAACCAGTAAGAATCCCAAGCTGGTTTTATCTTCACTGAGTTTAAATCAGTGATATGTGTAGAAAGCAAAAGCGACCGTTCTTCCACATTTAAGGAATGGGTTTAGAAGCAACCCTTTCAAAAGCTGACTTTGGAGTACCAGCAAGTGGCATAGTGGTTAAGGTACTGGACGCCCACGTGGTCGACTGCATTCCTAGTTTGAAGCCTGGCAGCTTGCTTTCTCACTTTCCCTCTCTCTGTCTCTCTCTCTCTGGTAAATGCACATGCCTATAGCAAATACAAATAAATAAAATTAAACAAATAACTCTTTAAAAAAATTGACTTCCTGGCCCAGGATAGCACAGATCACAGGCAAATTAGTGATACCTCCAACACAACTTTAAAGTGAATGGAATGTCTTTAATAAAGCACTAATTTTTGCCCTGCCCACCCAGATAAGCCACAACAGTGCTTTTAGTAGACCTCTTACCTTCCTTCTAGAAGGCATTCTCCTAGACCCTTGGTCCTTAGTAGATGGATATTTTCTTTTAGAGAGGTTTTTTGCTATAGGGTGCATATGCTGCCTAGAGAGATAGAGACAGAAAGTGAGAAATTATCCCTGGGAGGGATGACCACACCACAGTCCTATGGCTCAAGTTCAGACCAGTGGCTTGAAAATCATGCTGGGCACATGTGTGTGTACACAAAATTCCAGGAGGTAAATGGAGAGAGAAGATTGCTGCATGGCTATTCATTCCTCCTGGAATTCTCACTTTCTCTCTGTCTGTTTTCCTCTCTTCTGTGAGCACACATACCCTGTGGTGAAAATATCTAAAAAAAAAATAAACTCATACCAGGTGCATGTGCGTGCATGCCCAAAATCCTGAGAAGAGAATGGAGGAGAAGGGATTGCGGCATGGCCATCCCCTGTGGGGGGGTGATTTTTCGCATTGTGTCTCTAGTGAATGCATGCACCCTACAGCAAAAATTTCTCAAAAAAAAAGATAATTATTAACTTTATTAATTATTAGTTTTTAAATTTGCTATAGGACACATGTGCTCACCAGAACAAGACAGAGAGGGAAGTGAGGAAACAACCACCAGGTCCAGGACTCAAAACCACAGTCAGGGGACCAGCAGTTGGCTTAATGGCTAGGTTGCTGGACTTCCATGTAGTTGACCACGGTTCGAGACCCGGATCAGGTGGCTTAAATTCATGCCAGGCTCGTGTGAGTATGTGAGTATGTGCCCAGGATCAATCCCGAGAGGAGAATGGAGGAGAAGGGGTTGCAGCATGGCCATCCCCCCGGGGGGGTGATTTCTCGCTTTCTGTCTCTCTGTCTCTCTCCATCTTTCTGGTGAGTGCACGTGCCCTATAGAAAAAACCTGTCCAAAAAAAAGAAAAAAGAAAAGAAACCACAGTGGGCCATGTGGGATTCCAGTGCCCTAACCACCATGCCACCCACTGGCCCCAGGAGTTAAACTTTTGAAGCATGATCCATTTCAGGTCACAAGTTATTAGCCAAGATATTTAGCTAGATCTACCAAAAATACAGTTCTCTTCTTGATACTGTGTCCATAAGAAACTATATAAATATACATTCCTCTCTCAGAGAGCATCTCCTATAATTGGGAAACCAAAACTTATTATTTAAATGGTGAATAATAAAGCCTATAAAATAGTATATGCTGAAGGTCCAATGGATGTTGTGTTCTGTGATTGCCGTAGGAATTTCCAGGGTTTTGTGACTGGGGTGATGTCACAAAGGCCTTCAGTACCCAACTGGGGAATTCAGATTTCTCTGGGTGGCACTGAACCTTGATGCTATACTCTAGTAGAGCAAAATGAAATACTGACATATTTTATTCTGTCATACAAACTAAGAATCATTTTACTAGTGGAAAATGGTGCTCTAACCTATGCGGTCTAAAATAAAAGCCCTAAGTATATCTTCATAGATGATAATCTGGTGGGCAGGTTCCATGGCCTGGTGGGTAAGGCAGGTGAATCTCACCAGGCCAATTATGTGGTTCCAGTCCAGTATCCAGCTGTTTGAGAAACACATTGGATACCTGTACATGCCTAAAATCTCAAAAGAAGTGAGGGAGATATGGAAGAAAAGGGATTGTAGAGTGACCATTCCTCATAGGAGAGCTTTCTCCTTTTCCTCTCTGTTTTATTCTAGTGAGTACATATACCCTCTAGCCAAAAAAAGAAAAGAAAAGAAAAAAACAATTTGACTATTGAGCCTAGGCAACTGTTTTTGAGCTTTTCCAATAATGTCAATACTTGTATTGTACTTGTTAATTCTTCTAAACACTCATTAACCCAAAGGTATAAAACTTATAGGATGAGAATTTAAATTTTAAAAATTCTGTTCACTGAGGGACCAGCAGTTGGCATAATGGCCATGTCGTTGGACTCTCATGTAATCGACCACAGTTCGAGTCCCAGACCTGGTGGCTTAAACGCATGCCAGGTGCATGTGCATGCGTGCCCAAGATCCCAAGAGGAGAATGGAAGAAAAGAGATTGTGGCGTGGCCATCTCCCCTTGGGGGTGATTTCTCGCTTTCTGTCTCTCTGTCTCCCTCTGTCTTTCTGGCAAGTGCATGCACCCTATAGCAAAACCTCTCCAAAAAAAAAAAAAAAAAATTCTACCCATTGGTACCAGCAGCTGGTATAGTGATTACCTTGCTGGACTCCCATGTAGTCGACCACTGTTGGAGACTCAGACCTGGCAGCTTAAAACTCATGCTGGGCACATGTGCATGTGTGCTCAAGATCTGAGAGGAGAACAGAGGAGAAGGGATTGCAGCGTGGCGCGGAGAGCAGCGTGTAAGGGATGGCAGCGTTGCCATCCTCCAGGGGGATGATTTCTTGCTTTCTGTCTCTCTGGCAAGTGCATGCACCCTATAGCAAAAATCTTCCTTAAAAAAAAAATTTTTTTTATCCATTAACTTAATTTGATTTTTAGTTAGTGGGAGATGGGGACATGGAAGAGTGTCTCCTAAATTTTTATAGTAAGTTGCTTTAGTCCAGCTTCTGAAACACTAACTTCTCCTGGTTTAGCGACCCTTTTCACGCTAAAGGAATGGTCAGAGGATGAATGTCAGGACACGGCAGGTTAAAGGAAATTGTCTTTGGCAAAGAAAGAGGATGGCCCTCTGCAGGGTCTGCTCATACCCCATCCCCCTTCCTTGAGTCCTTCCTGTAGAGTCTTAGATACTTGTAGGCATGCCCCATGTGTTTCAAGCCATGGGTTTGAACAGCGGTCCCCAGGTGGGTTCCGGCTTCTCTTGAGTCTTTCATTACCACTGGGCCACAGAGCCAAACTTATTTTCATTTGCTGGCTCCTGAGTTCACTGTTTTAAGAGCTTTGTATAAAATGAATTCATTTATTTTTTACAATGATTCTCTGAGGGCCCTTCAAAAAGTTTGTGTAAAAAAAAAAAAAAAAGTTTGTGTAAACATAGAATTAAAGTATAAGTTTATTCTGGTGTAGATAAGTTTTGAAATTCGGGACCAGCAGTTGGCATAATGGCTGTGTCGCTGGACTCCCATGTAGTCGACTGTGGTTCGAGTCCCGGACCTGGTGGCTTAAACTCACTCCGGGCGCATGTGCGTAAGTGCCCAAGATGCTGAGAGGAGAATGGAGAAGGGATTGAGGTGTGGCCGTCCCCCCTGGGGGTGATTTCTCACTTTCTGTCTCTCTGTCTGTCTGGTGAGCACATGCACCCTATAGCAAAAATCTCTCAAAAAAAACAAAAAGGAATTCAAGTATTGCTTTTTCATAATACATATTTTTCTTAATTTTTTTTTGTTTTAAGATTTTGTTTGCTAGAGGATGCATTTGCTCACTGGAGAGAAACAGAGAACAGGAAAGTGAGAAACCACTTCCTGGGGGAGAGAGCCAAGCTTCAGTCCCGTTTCCTTCATTCTCCTGTCAGGATTTTAGGGACATATAAAAATGGGCCCAATATGAATTTCAAGCGGCTGAGTCCAGGACTCAGACCACGATTGGCCATGTGGGAGTCCAGTACCTTAACCACCACACCAAATCTGGCCTCTTTCATAAGCTTTCTGAAGACCTCTCATTTTATTACATTCATTCACATATGGGGAAACTGAGACACAGAGAGTGGATAACTTGCTCCAAACTTCACAGCTGGTAATGAGCAAAGCCACTCTAGACCCAGCACCCAGGGAGGCTTCCTCTCAGAGGGTACTGACCACCCCTTTGAGCTAAATTCTTAACCTCTGGGTTTCCCTGAAGGAGCGAGAGTCAGAGAAAGTCCGCCCAGAAGATGTTAGGAGCCCCTGTAAGTGCAGGAATATCAGAAAAATCCCTGCGGGAAGAACTCTCTCTCGAGCTCATGGACATTAGAAGCCGCACAGTATTAGCACATTGTAGAAAGGTACACGACTTGTCAAGTCAAGGAGTATCTGCTCTGATTTTTACCTGGCAGCTTTTTTTTTGCTTTGCTTCTAGTCCTTAAGGAAATAGTAACAGCTTAAAGCAAGACTTGTCTGTTCCAAGCGCCTCTCAGTCTGTCTTGGAGTTAGGTTGGCTAGGCACATGTGGGCTTTATCACAGGGAGTGAGAGGTAAACGAGGTTGGGAGGGTAATGCCTGACTGTAGATTTCAGGGAGAGAATTTGGTCTTTCATTTTAAATTGCTAGAGGATATGTGTGCTCCCCAGGGAGAGAGAGAGAAAACACCCCCAGTGAGGCATGGTCACTCTGCAATTCCTTCTCCTCCTTCTCTCCATCCTGTGGAGATTTAGGGTATGCATTTGCACATGCCAGCATGATTTTCAGTCTGTCAGGGCTGGGGTTCAGACAGTGGTCAGCCATGTGGGATCCAGCTCCTTAACTACTTGGCCATAGGGCCAGCTCAGAGAGGAAACTTCTATTCCCTCTCTCAAGTCATCACTCTAGGAGAGTGATCCTTTTTGCCCTCCCACTTCTGCTCCCTTCCCACCATCTTCTTGCTAATATCCTCCATGTCCCCCAGTATGCTATTCTAGGTCATATTTATTGGTATCCTTACTATTCACTGATGTGCAGAAACCTTGTTAGATCTTTCTTTTTCTCACTTCTGCCATCCTGAAGGATCAGGCATGCTGATGACGCTGAGACTAAGGAGGCCAGCAGAATTAGGAAGCCTCACCCAGGAGTCCTGGCTTTGCTCACACTTCCTTTACAAGTTAACCAGCAGAGGCCAGCAGGTGGCTTAGTGGTTAAGGTGCTGGATTCCCACATGGCTGACTGCTATTCGAGTCCCAGATGTGGCAGCTTGCTTTTTCACTTCCCCCTGCCTGTTTCTCTTTCTTTTTGTCTGTCTCTGATGAGTGCACATACCCTATAGCAAACTGAAAAAAAAATAATTGAAATAAATAATTTTTAATAAACTGACCAGTAGTGCTCTACTTTGTGGGAGCTAGTTTATGGCACTTGCCCAGCTAGTTTTCTCTTTCCCATGTGGCTCCCATTCTGAATGGGTCTGTCCTCTCCAGCAAAGACCTCTGGAAGAGTAGAGAGCAGAGTGAAAGGAACTATACATCAGAA